ATCTAAAGCAGTATACAGGTTCATCATAAATACATCTAAGAATAAGTACATTACGAATTAAACATTTACCTATTTTACACTGTTTAAATATAAGTGTACTGAAAATAACCATTCGTCATAGACGATGTATTATTTTGTTTGTAATTAGCTAGTTTAATAAAAACATTAATAAACATTTCTCATAATTACAATAGCTTTTTCTCTTTTGTAACTTACCCCTGAATTTATTGATTAAGAATGTAATTTCATAGTTGTCATATAGTCTGTCAATTCTGCATAAAAATGAGTTTCCTAAAGGTAACCTATTTCGAGATGATAAACAAGTAGTCACCCATAAATCATGTGAATGTATCATCCCTATAATTACCATTTTATTATATGATATTCTGACAGTTATTTCTAAATGAGAGATGAAGTCATAGTCACATCTGCATTCGAAATGGCTTCTCAGACCTAAATTTAATCAAGATTGAGATTTACAGCAACATAATGTGCATAGTCATGCCTACTTACTTGATGATTCCAACTACCTATGTCTCCCTCTAGAAGTTCATAAATGTAAATAAAATCTTAATTTAGTCTAAAATTTACATACTTTAGGCCGCAATCACTAACCAGAAAGAACTAACGGAATAAGCTGTTATTTTTTAGAAACATTTACACTTTAATTCAGTAACTTGATAAATTTCACATTCGATAAGTTCATTTGTCTAGTGTGCAAACTTTTCCCTATGAATTAGGAAACTTTGTCTTATTTCTTTATAAGGTGTGAAATCAATTTTGCCATAATAATGAAATCCGAAGAAAGTTTATTATGGAAATCGTTAAATTTTAACCGACTAAAGTTTAAAAAGCACAATAAATATCGTCGTCATCACCTGTACTTCTATTTGAGTAAAGTATTCACAAAGTTAATTCCTTCAGTAAAGAAGAGTGGTTAGTCAGCCTACCTGACAATGTAAACATCATTTAACCGTAATTTTACTTACACAGATTATATCAGTTAAATAAACAAGTACAAAATAATCCACTGTTACATTAAATTCTCCTGGTTACGTTAAAATGATAATATAATAACTTAATTCAAATGACGAAAATAACCAAACAGAACAACTCGTTTAAAACACCTTGATAAATATGAAATAAAAATATATGGTGAATCATTGTCGCAATGCTATGTACCCATGAAAAACTCCGTCTGACCTAAAATGGTCCAATTTTTGCTGGCACAACTAAAGAAGAGATCTGATTCATTTACTACCTATAAATCAATATAATTTAAGGAACTTATTTAAATTCAATTTAAATATGTGATATCTTCAAGTGTTTTTCTCCAAAAAAGGCAATCAGACTCGATTATAAATAATTTCACTTGCTCAACAAATGAAAACAGTCTGCATAGGTGTAGTTAACAAACACAGGTGAGAAGATCAACGAATCGTTTAATACGAAATTACAGAATGTAAGCTATGAAAACCATACATCAAATACTTCATTTGCACATGTTCCATGAACTGCCACTTACAAATTTCATCGTTCCGTGTTTACATTCCTGTTCTCTACAATCCGATCTTCTAAATCTTCTACTGCCATTTATTCCACTCCCGATTGGCGTTAGATATTACTTATTCCAGTCAACATATGTAAAATATACAACATGGAAACCAAAATGATTTTGTCCATTTGCAACTATTATTTCAGTATTCTAAAAATATCGACTTTACCTCAAGATACATTTAACACTTAAAATACCCGAAACATTTATGAAAAGTCATTTAATATCCATTCCTTCTTTATTTTTATAACTAATGTCATTTAAAGTAGATAAAAATACATTCATATTTAAATAGGCTTTTTTAAATAAAAGTATAATGATACTAATAACAACAATATATATGTCAGTAGAATAATTTAAATGAACAATAACAAATTACAAATTCAAATAGCTTGTATCAATTGATAAGAATGGTTGGTTATCAATCATAGATTAATAAAAAATGTTTACATTTGTTCCAATGTAAACTTGATGATAGTGATGATGATGATGATGAGACAAACTGTTTCTTGTTAGTCTCATAGTTTCTTTTGTTTAGAATGTAAATAAATACTTACTTTAGATTCATATATTACTTATACTATTTGAATACAATACATCACCATGGTATTATTCATATAAACGTATATGAATCTTCATATTAAAACAGGTATGTTAATTTTAATTTCAAGTAAATAACACACTAACATTTGATAATAATAAATACTATTGATTGATTACCATATTTACTTATTATGTCAAGTATAAAAGAGGTTGATATAATTCATTTCCTTTTTTTAAAAATATTAAAACCATGCCAAATGATGTTTATATGGTTTTCAAGTTATCATTATTTATAGTACTAATAAACGAAGGTATAATGTTCAATTTTACTAATATTTTTTTTCTGAAAAAAATTAATTTTTCAAGATTTATTGATACAGACTTCGTATATGACAACGGAAAACTATCACTTCCCTGATAAGTGAGTAATAATTCATCGACATATAAATAATAATCTATTCATTAATTCGTTAAAGTTAATATTTTAAAAAACTTTCCTATTTGGGATTGATTTAATTTGCATTTTCAAAAATAGATCTTCTGCACATTGGACAACGACATAGTTCTTCAAAGAGATATTATAGTATAAAATATAATTAATTTAAATTACATTTATTAACATTGTTTTTATCTGCATTATTTATTTTGAGTGCTATGGGTATACATTAAACTTTATTTAATACACTTAAAAGTATTTACTATATAATATATTTCATTTATGTTTAATATCAGAAGAGGGTTTTGTGGAGATTTTAGAAATTTAATAGTTGAATTCACGAGTCAATTGAAGATAGAACACCATGAAAAACCTGGAAGCACTGGAAGGACGTCTTGTCCTAGTGTGGAACTCTTCAGTAATGCATATCCACGATAACACTCCACGAGATTTGAATCCAGTACTTATCGGTTTCGCACGCAAATGCTCAACCTCTAGACCTCTGAGCAGTGATCCAAAGATTTTAGTGTCTAACTTCATTCAATGCATGAAATCATACTAGGACAAGACGTCAATCCAGTGATTCCAGGTTTTCCATGGTGGTCCATCTTTAGTTGACTCATGAATTAAACTATTGAACTATGTTTAATACTTTAATGCTAGTCTTACACTAGTAAACAGAATCAGACCGCATCTGAGAATGACAAAATTGAATTCTCCTAATGGCTAATCTTAGGATGATAAGAATAATAATATTCAGTTACTGAAATAACTTCCGATTTTGCGTGGCCTACTCAGAGATTAGAAAATATTAAATAAACTTGTGTTATGTCAAATCTACTTTAGTTGATGATATAGTTATATTATGATAATGAATATAATATTTTAATAAAGAAACACTTTTCCTATTGTTACCTGTGATTTACTAAGAAAGATTTCTACTACAATAGATCAAAAGGACTTTAAGGATAAACTAGTGACAAGGCTAAATGAGTCTCCGGATTTGTCAAAATAATTCACTTTATTAAAAAATTAATTAGAAAAGTATTTGTCCATATAGATCATTTATTAATATTTGTAGTCACTCATGTGAAGTGTAGATAAACTTTATATTTACTTAAATTCATCATGTAAAAGACTTACGTATACGTTTCATGATAAATGACCTTAATTTTCATTAAAGTCATTTCAATTAATGATAAAATTTATGAAATTTCTTTTGTTATAGTCAGTGCTTACATGGTCAATGTAATATACAAAACTGTGACAGTCCATTGACAGGTAAGAGTTCCAATATAACATTTGTACTTTAGAAAACACTCGGTTTTTACAAAAGATTTATTACACTGAAAGAATATCTTGTAATTGTAAACAAAGTTTTCAACTAGACTTTGCATTGTAAGCAACGATGGATAGTGGCTAGCAGTGGAATCCAGGATGCGCGTTTCGTCCAATTCATCGTTGCTTACAATGCTTGTGAATTAATGGTATATCGAGGCAATACGCACAGTCTGCACATTTACCAATTAGAGACTGACTAGTTGCAGTCCTAAACATCAATGGGAAGATTCAAACAAACAATACTAAGTGAATTTAGACCTTGCATTACTCGTAAATTTATTTAGTAAGGTGTGAGTTCTAGGTGAAAATTGTTCATTGGTCCAGATAATAATTAATTTCATAGGTTATGTAATATTTATACTTAATTTGAACATAAAATAAGAAAGAGCGCAATTTAATGAGTTTGTTTAACAATCTGTTACCGGTCATCTAGCCATTTTAAAGTGTTATTTTCTTTTCATCCATATATATGACTATACTATTATTGAATATTTAACATAACATATTTGAGAAAATCATGGCATATAAAAAGTGTCGTATGTGTAAGTGCATCATGCATTTTCTAATATACTTCTTATGTTGTTTTACAGAATGTCTCTTTTATTTAATAACCCTTTCCTATTAAATTAACGATGTACTTTTATATCTATTATACATTTAAAATGAATTTATAAACCTTAGTCTGTTAAAAAATGGAAAGAAGCTCTTCCGGGTGTCAAATGTAAATGTTTGACAAACCAAATTGTTACTATTGAAAGGTAAAAACGGTTTAATTTTTCAATAATTATCATCTGCTTAGCAAAATAGTTCTCAAATGACATTTCAGTTCAAATTCATATTACTAAGATAGTATACACGTATAGTGTCTGCAAACAAACGTGTATTATATTACTTACTGATGAACATAATAACTTATCTGAAGAATTTGTGCTGGTTTACTTTTACTAATAAATAGAAAGTGAAATAAAACAGTCGGAATCGGTTACTTTTATATAATGAAAAACTTTTTTTTTGTAAACTATAGATATCCCGAAATTTGAAACTAATACATTTAGGTTTCAACTTAAAAAGATGGTACCTTTTACTTCTGAAGAAATTATTGGTCAATTGACATTAGTTAAATCGATGAACCCTTTCATATTATGCAGAAAACTTAAATTCACTTTGGAAAATAACTCTTCAGGATTACCAATATATCTAGACAGAAGTACAGGTGTACTACGTGCAAGTCAAACACTATGGCAAAAACAAAAAGATAAAACACTATTGCTAAATGTAACTGTGAAGAGTATTGATAATATCAAGTTTATGGACAGTGCATTGGTTATTATCTCATGGAAAAATGAATACGTAAACGAAAACAATAACCACAAAACTAATTACAATAAACGGAATTTCGTCCCCAAAGTGGAAGAAGAACAAATGCTAAAATTAGAGACAGATACACGTGTAAGTCAATGTAGTTGACCTGCTTTCATAAATTAATCTAACCTTTATGTCGTTTAGAATACAATTTCAGGGAATTATACCACCACATACAACAGATCTGTCTGTTGACGTTTTTGTAATTAAATTCTTTGAAGATAGAACTATTTATTTTTATATCATTTTATATATTTAAGTCATTTAAAGAACCACAATCTATTGAACTTATATTAAATCGAGAGGATATCAAACCCACAGAGAATGTTTGTCATGGTCAAGCATGGTCAGTTACTGCGAAGATTATACTCCCTCCTGGTAATCACACTCTTCAAATTGAATTATTAGCACCAAGACACGTTAATGATGTTTGTGGTTACGTCAAATATTTTGGAGTCTCATTTATTGGTCACCATGTAAATATTGGTGAAATCAATTTAACTACAGTAAATCATCCTGGAACTAAACTTGATGATCCGGAGGTATATTTATCTTTATTTTAATGTTCTATGTAATATTGTTAAACTTGATGTTTACCTATATTATAAAATTATTTCTAGTCTATATATAGTAATAATTTGTAGTCATTTGAAAGTAAACTAACACTGTATTTTAATCCGTTTATTTGTTAGTTTACGCTGAACATAAACAATAATATGTAATTAGTACTAGATCTTCCATTCAATTATGAAAGAAAAAGAAAAAAAAGCAACAGAATTTCTCACATTAAGAATAATATTATATAAAGCGATTCACTGTGAATAATCCCGACTATATTTCCCGAATATGATTTTCATTTCAATATGTAATGAAATATTCATTCTTTACTGATGAAATGTTAGTGGCAGAACATTGTTAACAACAATTACATATTGCTACAACAAAGGATGATGCGATCATAACTAACAAAATGAAATTGTATGTATATAATCTTAAGTAAAGATAATTAGTCGGACTAACAACAATAGAATAAAAGTAAACCATAACTAATAACACAGTTATCATACTATTAGAGTATTTTTCAATGCTGGACATGTGCTTTTATTCTATGTTAAAATGTTGAATTCAAGTAAAGCTGAATACAAACAAAATTTGTAACGCATTTCAAGTTTATGGTATTACATATCACTAAACAATTCACTTAAAATACAGTGACTGTATTAGTATGCCTTCACTCCACTCATAAAGAGTGAGAAAAATTTTCAGGACTTTTAAGTAATCGATATTTTTGTGCCATATATACTTGTCACTGATTACAAAAATCCATAAAATATGCTTTAATTAGTATATCATTTATCGAATAATTATTTCAATGGCTAATTTCAAATAAATAATTATATTACAATTATATTAATATTATGTAACTCAAGTACTCGATCAGTATTCTTTCAATGTTGTAAATCATGCGTATATATATATATACCATATTTTTCCTTACAGTCAGTTTGCTAAGTTCTAAGGAATTTAACATAGAGCTTAATTAGTATACTAGGTAATAAATCCGTATTAATCCACTGCACACTAGGCTTTTTAGTTTTCGAACCATCCGAAAACACATTTACTTCTTAAAGACATTTATTTATAAAAAAAATAAAAGGTCAAAAAGACAAATGTAATGTAAAAAGAAATAAGTATAATGATCAAAAAAATAATGTGAAACTCATTAAACTGGATAAACAATATTGCCATGGTGTGCTTAGCATGAAAACAAACTATTTTTGAACATAGAAAAGGGGTTTGAATTCTCATATTGCTCAGGCTTCAATAAACCATAATATACCTTCTTGGACACTTTGCTCAACTCAATAAAAGCCGAGTTAATATCAATCTATTATGAGTCTAGTAATAGTGAACGATGGGTATTTATCATCTACTCTTATTGGGTTATTTGAGTTTATCTGTTTTTGTAACCATTTAGATACACGTTCAGAAACCCTCATTTGCAAATCACGATTACTCTTCCCTATGAATGTGTCGCTAGACACTTGTTTAAATTGACAAATACAGTGCTATGAGATGTAATCGTTTAAATGGAGTTAAGGTTTTCGACGATTCATGAACCTTATTTTTCCATAATGATGACTTTTTTTAATAGTCGAGATCATGAGTCAATTGAAGTTAGACCACCATGGGAAACCTAAAAGCACTGGACGGCCGCTTTGTCCTATTGTGAGACTCCTCAGCAGTGCGCATCGACAGCCGTCTAGTGCTTCCAGGTTTGAAGTTTAGCTTTAACATAAGGCTGTTTAACGCACCGTAGGGTGATGTAGACAGGCGTTTTTCTGTCCCAAATGTGTTATAGGTCTCACTGTGTTCTGATCTTGCCATAGCTTATGGATTTAAAAGAATAACCATTTTCCATCAATGTTTTGTACAACAACTTCTCTTCGTCATCAACATTACCTTTTGTACAAGTACGATCAATCCTATTGAATTGCCTCTTTATCAAGCCCAGTTTGTATTGAATTGAGTAATAATTATGATAAGTGAGGTACTGGCCTATCTAATCTAACTTTCTAAAAATGGATAATTTTATTGAATAGTCTCTTCTACTTATAAGTATGTCTAAGAAATGAGGCTTTTTGTTCTTCTCTTCTCAGAAAAGACGATGTGGTTTATTCAATAAACATTTCATATCCTCCTTTTTTATCACATAACTAGGATGTCATGTATACATCTATTATAAAGAGGTATATTTTTGATTAGTTCTTCAGCTAGGTTTTCAACGTGCACCATAAATATACCATTTTGGTTTTATTTATTTTTTAGAAATTTCAACAAATCACATTAAAATTTCAAAACGTAGAAGTTCAAAAAGCATCAAGTCCAATACCCGATCCATTTAGTATAGATCTGAAATTTGCTGTGATAATCTTGGAAACTGTTAGTTTGCCTTATAATGCAACACTAAAAGCCGGTATTCTTTTGGGAACGAAGGATTTAGTATGGGTTGGTTTGCTCAGATTGATATATTCGAAGACATGTCCAACACTACCAATTGAACTCAATATTTCCTCGTATCCAAAGAAGATGATACCAACTGACATCACTATTGTGACTGCGGATGTATTTTTACCAATTCTAAAGGATAACTATACTGTAAGTTATATTCTTTATGTGGTAAAAATGTTTGTTATCTTATATTTTTGGAAACATTCTTTGTGGAGGACGTCTTTAGTTGTTATCCAGCAGCACTATTAAAATAACGAGAGAACGAAAACTAGCTAGAAACGATAAACGATACAATCCGTATTTAAATGTTAGATATAATTTATGGTGTATGTCATTGTTATATTTATATAACTAGATTCAATTAGTAGTTTGACTTCAACAACTACCATAAAAAACAATAGTGAACTTGAATAAATAATATAAAGTAACACACTAGTAATTGTTTCTAGTGAATAGACTATATGAAAGGACCACTTCTATAACTAATTAGAATTCAGATGAATGCATTGCATAAATACACTACTAAAACTTATAGTTAAGCAAATATTGTATCATAATCTTAATATTTTTTACGAGATTCCAAAATACTTTAAATAGTACAACTAAGCAGTGTACTTCTATGCATTTCGTCATCGGTAACTGAACAGAGGAATCATAAGTGATTGAATAACATGTTTTTGGAACACTGTCTTTTACAGATATATAAGTGAATTATTACTACATTCATTCCCTTTCTTTACTTTCTACATAGAAGGAAGTGGTTAGCTAAATACTATCAACTTCATTAAAAGATTTCTAGTTGATTACGTTGACACAGTAATTATAAGAAACTGAATATACGTCCATTTCATGAAATAGAAACCCACTTGAGTTATTTTAATTTTCAAAGTGATTGCAAGAAAAAAAGATTATTGTGACAAACTTAAAAGTTGGACTAATATACATTCTGCATTATGGAATGTATTCAAATTAAATGTTATCGCAACAGTTTGTTATCGGTTTATATCTAGTAATTACTAATCTATAAATTACATTAGACTATCACATCACTAAAACACATATAGAGAGGATAGCTTATAAACAATTTGGTCTTATTAAAGAGCATCATATATTTAACAGTTTTCGTGAGAATTTTCTAAATATGTTTTAAACTACTTGACATTGATTTTCAAACACTTATTAGCTTCATCAAAATACTAAAGATCCTAATGTCTATGCTATAATACATTTAGTACACTTAGTCGATAATGAAACTACCGTATAAGCCAATTATTCGAAGCGAATTTAATTGGAAACAATCTGCAAAAGATTTAACAATACGATTGATCTTGTTAATTACAATGCACAAAATACGATAATTTTAACAGTTCAATCATTTTCGATAAAGTAGTGTTTAGATTTTGAAGACTTATTAAATTCATAAGTCACAGATCCTTTTTTATTCATGGTATTTTTAGTTTTCGGTTTATTCAGTGGGTCAGTCAGCAACAATTGCCTCATTGGGTTTGGAAAAAGGTGAGGGATTCCAAAAACATGAAGCTAAATCTGTGAGGAAAACTACACATGAAGAAGTACTGATTGATTCAATTATCACTAAAAGAATTGATATATTTGTCGAAGAACTACATAATATCTGTAAGCTGTTGCGTTTAAAATTTTAATTACAAGGTGTAATCTCTTTTTACTCCTACTCATACGCTCTAATTCTTGATTGATCATAATATTAGAAACCATTAATTTACATCTTTTGAGTGATCTAGGTTTGATGAAAAGATGTTTTTTTAGATTATAATTAAATCACCATCTAGAGTCAACCTTTTTAATTTTAAATATTTGTTTGTTTGACTAATTACGAGCAAATCAAGCTTCTGCTGTTGTAGCTAAACACATTCTAAAATGACGGCCATTATTTTAAATGTTTTAGGCAGATATTTTACATCTGATTTTCTGTCATTACTTTTAGCCAATTTTTTTCACACGTATCCAAAATATCAAGTTGTCGCTGATATTTAAGCATATTTCATTTTGAAATGACGGACAAATTTTTATTGTTTCAGTTTGATTTATTTATGAGCTACATTCTCTCCATGCTAATTGTCATCCGGAATGGCGTATGAAAACGTCTAAATTAAAACAGTTCAAAAAATAAATATGTTGATTGTGTATCCAAATTGAACAACCTGACAAAGAAAAGTTATTTTTTTACTAAGAATACTGACTAATTCATTAAGATGTGCACTTTTCACATAAAATATTCATGCCTGTATTTGGTCCGTCCTCTGAAAACAATATTTCCACCTGAGATCAATCCAGAGGTTGTTTGTTATTTTAAAATGAAACGTCGGTTACATACCACATCTATTAGCAAAACACTGAGCCCTCCAGATCGTTCATTTGACACTTCAGTTCTAAATATATTGTTTTTTGTATATAACTTGAATATTTTTCAATATTTTAAATGTAGACGGACTTCTTTACCATGCTTCAAGAGAAAGCAAGACTGTTAAGTTGGTTGCTTACATACAAATATTGAATAAACCATCAACTAGAGTGATAATTGGTTTTCGTGTTCACGCTTTTAACAGAAAGATTATTTATACAGAATGTAATATACCCATTGTTGCAAATTCTAATGACAAAGGGAAGGTATGTAACTTTTAGCTAATTTGTAATATCAAGAATTTTAATTCAAAACACCTCAAATAATGAATGAAAATCACGTAGTGTAGTTCTTGGAAATAGAATAAATAGATTAATAATAAGTAAATGACAAAAACCAATGGAAAATACTAGATTTCGGTGTGATTTTTATAACAGTTATGATATCATAATAAATAAGGATTGAGATCGATTCATGGTGACCATATAATAATATTCCTAGTAGAATAAATCTGATACATGTATACTACTGAAGTAAATTCCATTCATAATTGAAAGCCATCATTTCAGTTGATATATCATTGTAACCATTAAAAACCAGTTTCAAAAATGATCCCTCATGGCTCAACTAGGGATCAACCCTAGATTTTTAAATCTCAGGTAGAAGGAGTGAACGCATAGACCCTAGAATGGTTTCTAACAGTACATATTTCTAACTTCAGTCGGTCCAAGATTAAGCCTAACAACCATTACCTCCTGACTAATCTCACACCATGGCGAAACCGTCTTCCAGTGCCCCCAGGTTTCCAGTGGCACTGAAACAGATCAATCTGTGGCGAATATCATTCACAATTAAGTAATTTCCACGAATCCCCTTCACTTCAATTAACATTTGGATTAATTTATAAAATGATAATTTATCGTGCCCTTTATCACGAACTGCACTCCATGATCTCCATTTATTATAGCTTTGTATTTTGATACAAAAATTGTTTATCAATTCAAACAATATTTTCTCACTATTTATTCAGAACTCAAACTTCTTGCAATCAACCTAAGACATACAGAACTAAATGCTGATTGCTAAACACGAAAAGCAATCATCAAACAGTGTAAGAATTTACACAAAACTGAGAAAGCATGAATTTTGTAGGCTTCCGAATCTTCTCATTGATATTTAGAATTGAAGTTTTACTAGTCTTTTCCCGGTATACATGAACATTGAGCGGACTGTCTCCACATTGTCATCTGACATCTTTTTAAGTAAACATACATAGTGACTAGTAAAGAGAGCCAGGAAGCACACTGCTTCCTATTTACGACTCATCATTTCGATGTATCGGCATTACAGTGTTTGGGTTCAAAAGAAACTCTGTGCCTTGCACTTAAAATGCCTATGATGTTATCCATTAGCCTAAGGTGTGGGTTCGGTTTAGAATAATATCAACAATGTACCGGAGATTCCATAATACGGTTTTAGGAAGTTTCACAACACTTTATTAAAAATCATGTAATGACTCTAACACTTTTCAAATAAAGCTTTCGATACATTTTGCAAGCAATAACATTTAATTCATTTAAAACAACTTTTGAAATGACCACTGTAAACGTCTGATTTACATTCGATTTAATCAAAGAAAACTAAAATCCTCAAGCGCAGAACTCCTTTTCCTTTGTCTCTCATAATAAAACTTTAATTCATCTTAAAATACTTTACACCTCATTTCTCTAAAGAGTTAGACAGAAAAAACATTGATTTCTTTCAATTATAAGCAAAAACATTTTAAGGTGGAAAGATCAAAACTGAAGTAAATATACTTTTATGAAAGTGCTTTGATAAAGAATATGGTAAAATATTAAATTATTCGAAAAACTAAATAAAATTGCTTAAGTTAATCAGTGAAACAAGAATGATGAACCATTAGACACTGACAATGGGATAAGCCTTTGGGCTTTATAGAAAATATCTCTGAAGTGCGATTCATTGCAGTCTAGTATTATGTATAGAAAACAATTTCCTTGAAATTTTATTGTTTGAAACGAGATTCTAAGTTGAAACATAAACCTAAAATAACTTAGTAGTTTGAAAAACAATAACTTCTAATTTCGATAATGCACTGATTATGCAATTACCCTTAACCTACCCTGGTAATGCTGATTTATTATCCAGAGTAGTAATCACATTGGTTTTGTGTACTTTATTTATTTTCTTACCTTAACCTGTCTAGTTGGCCTTTTAATTTTTATATATAAATGTTCTTAAGAAATATATGTGTGATCAGATTGTTCGAAATGTATTGCGCTAATATATCACATAATTCTGATAAACTTCGTCTTCTCATTGCATTAGAGAAATTTATCAGAGGGATCAATTGTTTTAAATAACTTCTAAATCAAGTCAACGCTCTTATAAAAATTCACAACCCATTCACCGGTAAAATGTTTAAAAATACTAATATGGTACCAAAAATGTATCTATGTTAAGGATGTTAAGCTTGCAAAAGTAGGAAATAAATGATGGAAAATGCTTTGCTTAAAATTCAAGCATTTCTCATTAATTGCACCCGATGACCTACACTAAACTGTCAGAAACCTTTCAATCTAAGAAACATCCATTGAAGATCGATATGGTCTTCATTTTGTAATAATTATGTATACAATTATATGTATAATACTAAACTTTTCATTTTTACAATTTTGTTGGTAATTTTTCGGATAATTGTTTAGTCTTGTCTTTTAAATGGCCAAGTAATTTAATCAATTAGTTTACTTTCAGTTGGTTGTAGTGTGAATGGTTTACATTACGTTACTTTTATTTGAAAAAAGTACCATTATTTTACCAGTCGTTTTTAGATGAACTTTCATTATTTCAGAAGAGTATCAAACAAGTGATCTTTAAATGTTGAATATATTGTAGTTATTTTCTTTTAACCTTACCGTTGAGAAAATACTGAAAAGAATTTGAACATCCAATTCAAGTGATTACTAACATAATCAACATGTATGTTTTTTAGAATAATAAGTTTAACGAGATTGTTATTAACGAATTCAACATTTGTATGCAACGAAATAAATTAACACGACAGTAATCATGTACTGATAATTATTAAACATCTAATAACAAGTTAATGAATTTGAACACTAGATAACAGTCCTGAACTACAACTGAAACACTACTTTCCAGCTTAAATTAGATGATCCATATATTGCCATTTAAAATTTTATGAATGGTATTTTTAACTGTTGATAATCTAAGTCCTCATTGTGTTTTAACTCACTTTTATTTTAAAATTGTTCATAGTTTCTGGCTTCATACATTGAATACAATCCAGCTGTAGTTGAAACAGAAAAGGTTAGTGAACTGAACTTTACAATCAGTTTTCCGTCCAAATCAAAGCAGATGTATTCACTTAAACTTAAATTTGATAAGCTTATACTTGGCGAAATATGCTATGCAACTATTATGAATATTGGCGCTGCAATCAAGCAAAGGATTATTGGTGTAAGTTATATGACATCATTTTTAATTTAGTTATCTTTAATGACCATATCTATATACATTCAGGACATTGTTTAGAACAGAAAGCATACTGAAAGCAATGCGAATCATAAACAAAAATCACAGAAATTTGTCGGCAAGTGTTTTGCTATTAAGATAATATTTACATGTTAAATATACAAAGAGAATAATTTTGCCAATAATGATGCATTAAGTTACAACATATTTTGTCTTTCATTTGACCACAAATTTGTAAGTTTCCTATAACCGGTTCCTTTGACAAAATTAAGCAAGGCAAGCACGACAACAATTGCAGAATATGATAATTTTATTTCATTTCGTGATTTCTAATGAACTTTTTTGAGGTATCTCATTTGCACATAAACATACACTCTCTTCACTACATGACAAGATTTTTCTCAAGGCATGTGACAAAGTCGTCTAAGAGTTATCTAATAAACAATGAAGTATGATTTTACAAGGCATCGTTTGGATCTCCAAAATTTATCGTGTTTAAGCTTGATTTATCAAATCTAAGGATAGTCGAATACGGTCAAATTTGGGTTCGAAAAATTATTACGTTTCCTAATATAAGTATTTGGTATCACTGAAATTCTACTGCACAACAGTTCACTGTGAAATTAATTATATGACTCGATTTAGGTTAGATTTCAAATAATGGCCTACACTGATAATGGAGAGATATTTTTATTATAGAATATAATTATCTGAAACGATGCATACCGTTTAGCAAAATATTTAATATACTGACTTAAGTTGGTGGTAAATGTATTTTATTTTTTGTATTAGTAAAACAGTTTGTATGTTTCAAAAAATTTTTTCAGATGAGGCTGCACACAAGTTATTCAATGCATGGAATAAATAAATTGAGGTCGGAAGCCACAGTTTACCTGGGATTAGTGGAAAACCCAACAAATGACATAACTAAACACTACATTATATTACATATAAAATTAAAGCCCCACCTACAGAAGAGTTTTCCTAACACATTCTCAACAAACTTAATAACTGATTTTATTTTAAGTTCAGGTCAACGAGTAACCTCATCGGTGCCTTTTAACGTTACTACGTATAAGCCACAAGTTATTCCAGTAAGTTTTCGATAAAATAAATATGAGTTATTTAATATTGTTTTAAACCTAGATGAGTCCTGTATTTTTTAAGTTATTTCTGTAGAAATATACTCCATCTCATTACGTTATCACTCGTCTTTTGATCCTGAAGTAAATCAAGTCAGACTACCTCAAATGTTTTTGATGAAGCAACCGACTAATTTGTCAGATATTTCTCTTATTAATTAATATCAGAAGGCTGCAAAGACAGGTTAAAAATAGTTCCGTCTACGATTTTGTGATCATGAGTAATATTGGGAGGATTTTTGTTCTCAATGGATTTCCTATTCTTAAATTTTAACTCAAGTGAGAAACCTACGTTAATGAGTGTTAATCATTGATTATAGAAGGAATACTTTTAATTATATCTTCCGGTTTATTCTATTCAGCCTACTATAGTAGATTGTCGTATAATATCGAAACGATTCTAATATGAGTAGAATGTTTTACGATACCTATAAGGCAGCAACTAACATACACAGTTCTTCAGCAATAATCCTCGACGATGAGACTCAAGAAGAATACAGGAGTGCTGAAGAAATCTTTATATTTCAGAGAAGACATTGTAAATCAGAATAACTCTCTATATATGGTAACCGAAAATTACCTTATAATAGGGAGTAATTGAAAAATTAAAAGCGAGGGAAAACATTCTGAAAGTAACAAAGACAATGTAGAAACAGGAATCCCAAATCTGTACACGTGGCTGTGATCAAAAGAGAAAAACTAGTACTTGTCCACAAAACTTGATAACTGAGTGCCTCTTCACAAATGCAAACTAATGTTGATTAGCAATAGAATAAAGGTCTTGAAAACGTATGGATTTATTTAGTGATGTTCTGATATCATCACGACTGTGATTATTAAAAACCCTCCTGAAAAATTTGGATTGTAAATAAATGTTGTTGATAACAACTGAGTGAATTTGAAATCATGTCCTACTTCCCTGCAGAATGATCTTAAGGCTTTATGTTTCGTTTACAATCAATATTGTTTAACACGAATGCAAATGTCTCGACTTCTACCTTGCACCGATAAACCTAAAGTCTAGAATTCAAGGACAAAATTAAACTTGACTTATCCATGTACAGTAATTTGAACTATATTTTTAACTTATTTATTGGTAATTTTGATTTTAGTCTGATAAAAGGCCAATAGCTATCCTAACTGTTCACAATCCAACAACAAGCGTTCCTACAGAAAACTATTATACAACATTGTTTGCTGTTATCACATGGTCAGAGATGATTATATACAGTTCAGTGAGCATAATTCTTCAAATATCTTCTCATAAATCGGTGCTAATTGAACAGAAATTTTGTTCGATAGGTAAAGCCTTAGAAACAGTTGTCCCAATTAATGCTGAAACATCAATTAAAAAGTAATGGATAAAATGGTTTACATGAAAGTTTTAAAAAATTATTATTTTATCTTATATTGAAGTAAAAATTTCAACTGATAAGAACTAAATGAATAACAAGCTTTTCGGTATACGAAAGCAAATCATTTTCATTGATAATTAAGCTTCATATTCACATAAACTATGGAAATATCAAGCTAATAAATCCATAGTCTTTGATCTTTTAATTAGCTTAAATTAAAAAAAGCCATTTCTGAATTTTTTTGCTGCTTACTTATAATTTTTCCACGGTTATCAACTTATCTTCATAGTTGAAAGCATGAGTCAATTGAAGCTAGAACACCAAGGAAAACCTGGAAGCACTGGACGGCCGTTTCGTGCTATGGCACGAGACTGGTAGGTCCTGGGTTTGAATCTCGCGAGGCGAGATCGTGGATACGCACTGCTGAGGAGTCTCACAATAGGATGAAACGGCCGTTCAGTGTTTCCAGGTTTTCCTTGGTGTTCTAGTTTCAGTTGACTCATGCTTTCCACGATGAGAATACTGAAATCTCCACAAAACCCCTTCTGAATATCAACTTATTGATTGAAAGTAAGTGAAAGGAGGAACAAATCAACTTTGACATTTTTAAACGGATTAATCTCAAATGTTTCTAGTGGAAACCACATAACTAGTTAAACACTTATATGGAATCTAACAAGGATAGAAATTATTTTGTGACTGAAATAAAACTCATATAAGACAAATAAAAATGAATACAAATTTTCTTGTGGATATATGATTATCTGGTTATGTTCAAGTTGTTAAAGCTTCTGATTGGTCATCACCTTGATGAATAACACGAAATACAATGTATTTTTCGTCATTCACTTTAATGTTCTTTTCATCTTAAATGGGTGTCTTAAGTGAACGAAGTATTTTTCAGATTGACGAAAATCCAAAATGAGAGTAGAGAAAATTTATAAAAAATGAATTTATTATGTTGTAAAAATTATTTAAAGTGGACATGACGATATATTTTTTCAAAAATGTACAGTTAACAGAAAAGCGTTATTGGACTATCATGAATAACACTTTCAGTTCTTTACATGAAGATGACACTGGAATTAAGCACATTACTTCCCATTTACAACTTGACACATATTTTATCATTACATGAGCTTTTTCACCATAAAATCAGCGATATGTCTGTCATCTTTTTCAAAAATAAAGTAATTCGAGAATCATCTAGCTTTCATGACACTCTAATTTAATTCATTTCACTATCAGTAAATAACCTTTTTTATTTATTATCTTCCCTTGACATTTCCAATGACAAGATGATGCTGACACATATACAGTTTATGAATGACCATCCCCAACGAAAAGCACAATTATCAATAAATTTACTCAACAAGTATCAAAATTTGATTTTTAGTATTTTAAAGTCAAATTATTCTTATTCTAGTGCTTATAAGCTAGGATTTAAACACACTTAGAAACTTATCTATTAAAGCTTACAAATCTCTGGCTTAAATGAATTCAACATTAAGTTTTGTAATTATTTCTCTCTTACTTACAGTAACGTTGGACTTATTGAGCTACCGTCAGTTTATGTACAATCAGTTGGTAATTATAGTGATGAAGAACGATCAATGACGATAAAATATGTAATAGAAATCAATGAAATTACAAATATTACACTAGATCTTGATATTCTATTTAATGGAGAAAAGAAAACAAAACAGATCACATTCGTACCTGAATCTTATACACCCCCACCTGAACTTGTAAGTTTTATGAACCATTAATCTTTCACAATAATCGCACTTCAAAAATACGAATCCCTGAGTAGATTTATTCGTTGCACTTCACAAACTAGCGAAATTCATACTGTTAGGTAAATCGTTTTGTTCACCAATTTATCTTCCACATATTACAAATTATCGACAATTAGGACAGTAAACGAAATTTTTATGAATAGTTTTCGGTTTTTAATTTATTTTACCTACTGTTTACTAAATCAACAATGTATTCTATTATCTTGATTCAAATCTATTCCATCAAAAGTTTTGAAGATCATCTTCACAAACGTTATATAAATAGATGATAGGTGTAGATTATTAAAATTTTTTGCATGACAAATGTTTATATCAATTAGATATGTTTTCAGTTTTTATGATAGACATATACCGAAAAAAAGCAAATTTCGTATTACGGTTTTCCAAATAAAATCAAACTGAAGTGTAAGTATATATATTATTTCCTTCAAGTTAAATTTTTATTTGGTTTTACTTTCCTAGTCTTTAGATCAACAACCATTCGGACTGCTGCAAAGTCTTCTAATAAGTCGTGCAGATAATTATCTCCATCCAGATTCATTCAGCATTATTATGGCAAGTGTAGTTATTTCTCCAAGAGCCAGACAACAATACTCCATGAAAATTGAAACATCTAAACTTCCAAATGAAGTCCATTTTTTTGATCCAAAAATTTTGGATACTGGTTTGGTAATGGCATCTCATAAATTTCAGTTTAATGTGTCAAATGACGCAGTATATGTAGGAATTGGTAATCAACAATTTGAAGGTGAGATGTTTTTCTCATAGCTCCTACAAAACTGTAATCGATGACACACTTACTTTGCAAACCATAAAGTATATTATATAGATTTAATCGAACGTTCCTGATTTTATGTGCTTTATAGCCAAAAACAAAAATTTCATTTATAGTCTCTAACTAATAGGTTAGCCATATTATGAGTAAAAAATAAGTGATGTTCAGGACTTCAATTGATCAATCTCTGGATTCCACTGCTAGCCACCATCCATCTTTCCATATAATGCTTTTGAATTAAGGTTAAATCGAGGCAATACGCACAGTATGCATATATACCGATATGAGACTTTTCCCCATTTGCACAAGCAAGTGGCTATCAGGACTCACTAGCTGAGTCGATAACGTGATGGCGTTTGAAGCGAAAGGTAATACGTTCGAGTCACAGAGTGAACATCAACTCTGAGGTGTAAGTACATTCAGCTGATGAGTCTCGAATAGGACGAAACGCGTGTCCTGAATTCCACTGCTAGCCACTATCCATCATTACTTAAAATTTTAAAAAAAACTTGAACTTTTTGTTACATACTTATTTGGTCTTTTGAAAGAAAACATAACTTCTTCCATGCGACAATATCCGTATAACTTTTGCTTTATTACGATTTTGGTTTGATGTGGGTTCTGACAAATGAATTCATACATTTGAGACAAAATAGAGAAATGATAATACGGGGACTCGTAATATGAAAGCAAGTGTTAACCTTATTGAAATTTAATGTCAATTTGTACTTCTTTTTATACATGTATAATGCTTTTGAAATTGTAGTCCGACACATATTCTTTTTTATCTGACCAATCAAATTCATCAACCATTAGGTGTTTGGACATTCTCTATTTTCATTACTTCATAACTTTGGATAACTTTACGTACTTGAATTAATCAAAAAGGATACCTATAAGTTTATCAGAATCTCTTATTGTTAAATTTCAAAATTTTAAACTGTCAACCATCAGAAGCAAAATTAATAGACAGCCTACCATGAAGACGTCAACAACTGGAGGAAATCACGGGATACAGTGGACAGGCAGGATGCAGCTTGACGATCTAGACTTCGCGAATGATCTGGCTCTTCTATCACAAACGCAACAACAAATGCAGGAGAAAGCGACCAGTGTAGCAGCAGCCTCAGCAGCAGTAGGTTTCAATATAAATAAAGAGAAAAGCAAGACTCTCCGATACAATACAACATGCACCAATCAAATCACATTTGACGGAGAAGCTTTGGAGGATGTAAAACCTTTACATACCTGAGCAGTATCATTGATGAACACGGTGGATCAGATGCAGATGTGAGGGCGAGGATCGGCAAAGCAAGAGCAGCATATTTACAACTGAAGAACATCTGGAACTCAAAACAATTGTCAACCAACACCAAGGTTAGAATTTTCAATACAAATGTCAAGACAGTTCTACTGTATGGGGCGGAGACCTGGAGAAATACGAAAGCCATTATCCAGAAGATACAAGTGTTTATTAACAGCTGTCTACGCAAGATACTTAGGACCCGATGACCAAACACTATCAGCAACAAGTTACTGTGGGAGACAACAAACCAGATTCCTGAGGAGGAAGAAATGAAGAAGAAGCGCTGGAAGTGGATTGGGCACACTTTGAGGAAATCACCCAATTGTGTCACAAGACAAGCCCTCACATGGAATCCTGAATGTCAAAGGAGAAGAGGAAGACCAAAGAACACATTACGCCGAGAAATAGAGACAGACATGAGAAGAATGAACAAGAACTGGATAGAACTAGAAAAGAAGGCCCAGGACAGAGTGAGTTGAAGAAAGCTGGTCGGTGGCCTGTGCTCCATTGGGAGTAACAGGCGTAATTAAGTAAGTAACTACCATTTACTTCTTTTTGTAAAAATAAAAGTTACTCACTTATGAAGTAAACGTATGCAACTGATTCCATCATGAGATATCTCTTGTTCCTAAACATACAAGCTAAAAAATATTTTTCATTTCGGGCATTCGCAAATAGTCAGAAACCCATGAATAACAAATATGTCACTAAATGTAAATACGTTTATTTAATTTTGAAACTCTTGACTATTTATTACCGTTATAGTCGAATGGGGGATTTCTATTATTATATATTATTAGAATTCGCTTTGTTAATCTATCAGCTTATGAGATAAAATAACGTTATGCCTAGCACATACTGTCATAATCTATGGTATAATGGTTTCAGGTAATTACTTTCTGCAATCCTAAATATGAAAATGATTTGTGTAATTGTACTTGGCTTTTTCGTTAAAAAATTATGCATCTTTGTATACAACAGATAACCAAAGTGCAGACGGTGCAGTTTCCAAAAGCGAACAAACATCTATTAACATTATGATTCCGTTAAACGTTGGTTCAAGAGTTTCTAATTCCATTGACCTGAAGCTGATTTTATTTGGTGGAAAGGAAAATTACGAATTGCCATTTATGTTTAATATTGGTCCTTTGCAGGTAATTTTTAATTACTTTCGTTTCATCTATTTTTCAGCAAACTGATGAGATCACTGGTATGCGTTTTACTAACAAGAATCTCTCCTTATAAACTTTATACAAAATTAACTGTCCAAAGGCATACAGGCACTCAGGAATTAAGCGGTATGATCGTCTTCTTACACCACATAATACCACAGAGTTTTCCAGTATATTAGACAGTAAGTAATTTATTTAAGATGTACAGATGAATGACACTATAAATTTGGTGAAAGTGCAGAATGTATGTCCATTCCTCACAGTATCTGATAAAAATATGTGTTCTCTAATACAGAATATTCTTTGTGCTTGTTTACACGTCTACAGACTGTATTCAGAGTGATGTAACTTCCGAAAGTTTCTATTCATCAGAAAACGTAACCGTGTTTTTTTTTAAATTAGACTCACTGAACCGAATGGCTGGATAGTATTAGTTCTATACACTTAAATTGTTTTCTAAACTTTTTTCATTAGACTATGCCAAATGCTGTTATCTTATCGAAAACACACAAAATTGACGCCATAAACTTTGACAAACAACCGGACCATACCGATACACCTCTTACTCCAGGCGAAATTGGACGAATTTACAATCGAATTTCTTTAAATTTACCGAAATGTGAAGAATATCAAATATCATTTTCTACCTTACCTAACACTTCATGGTCCGTTGATATAATTGATATCCTTGTTATGGATGTTAGCAATTACATTTGGATTACCGACTTGTCAGATTATCAAGTTATCAAATATAGTAGGTAGGTTAATAGTCAAATAAGACTATCACATTGTAGAAATATTTCTTGAGGAAAAACGTTTTGTGACAGCAGAGTATATTTACTAATTAGATTATAATTCTTTTTTTAACATTTTTAGGCCAATTAATTTATAGGGCTTATAGTTCAAAGGAACTGAAAGCTCGGTAATTTAAATTTTACCAAAGAATCTGTGTTTATAGGAATATTACAAGTTTTAGGATACAGGAAATGTAAATCCTTTGGATGAGTTATCTAAAAATTTGAAATGAATCAATTAGTTAAATATTGAATGTTGTAACCTTTGAGATGACAATTATTTGTGCTAACAATTATTGCGAAATGGATAGAATTCTAGTAAAAATCGAAAGGTAAGGATTGAATCAAAATGAAAGGTTAAATGTATTGAGTAGGCCATGAAATATTTTCTCATCTTCATTTCCAACAGAATCATGTTGGTAATAACAATGAGGTGATTAAGTTCATTGATTTTACATAATAATGAACTTCATTTAACGTCAGACATCACGAGCCATGTAATATTATCTACTTATATTACTCACTAGTAACAGCTCATAAACTGAAACTTTTTTATGGAAGCGTTTTACTGTCAACTCCTTTTTAATAATTTAACTCGTGTAATGCGTGATATTATTTGATTGGTACCTGTAGCTATTCAGTAACTTGTTGAGCGTTAAGTTTTAAATTTAAGTCTTAGTGAATATCGACTACACGATGCATGTATATCTAGACGGAGGGTCCTGAAAAGGATGAAACACCGATCTTTGGTTCCGATTCTGAATAGTGTCTGTAGATGTGGTTAATTTACAGAATAAATGTGATATTTTTACTTATTTAGACCTGGTTCACCCACAACTGATGTGGCTTCAGTCGAACTAAAAATATGTGCACCTGCTGGGTTCGGAAATGAGGTGAGTATCTTACGTGTTTAATTGTGCCCAAATTCACTAATGAATTTTTTTAAAGGAATAAATTTTATGACAACTTATTAAATAAAGTGATTCTTAGCGTGACTTAAAAAACAAGTTCAACTAACTCAACTAAGTATTCTTTACAAAGACTTAAGATTATTCACTATGTTTTAGTGAGGATTTAAAATAATCTTCTTCGTTCATGATCTGGTCATCTAAAATTGGATGAACTTATAAAATTTCTCCATGATGACTTTGTTCATGCTTGTGACATTTGGAAGACAAAGTTCACGGTCAATTAAATCACAGTCAAAGAATGTAATATCTGATCTCAAATGTATCACCGTTAATGAGATCATTTAAAATTTTGGTACGAAGTATTAAACCATTAAATTGTCTTATAGTGGAAATTATAGCTGTGGAAGGAGTAAGAAGCAAATGAATGAATAATAAGTGAATAGTTCTTATAACTTCAAAAAGTGGTCAACGAATTGTTGAATTCTAAACGTGGTTTCAGTAATTATATTTCTAATTCCTAAAAAGAAAGTAATAGTGTGAATCCTGCGATGATCCAAAGGTTTGGAGAGTAAATCTTACATCAGTTAAGTCTAAAACGTTTGATATCATTTTTATCTTAATCAATCATTCATTGTATATAGGTACGGGTTGATGTATTTATTCGTCCATGGAGTAGAAACAATGATAATAAATTGAAAAGTCAGCAAAGCGTTACAATCATTGGAAATGTAAAACTTAAAAGCACTGGCTCTGACTTTGCTCTCGCCCCATGTACATTTAATGTTTCTTCGGCGGCAATTATGGAGCAATACATTCTTGAAGATAATAAATCTTTAAATGATAAACAGGTGATTTACAAAATTTTTATAATGTTAACTTTTTAATTTTGAGCTGATAAAGACCAACCATCTAATAATATTTTGATGTTTCTAACAAATCTTAATAAGGGTTTTGTGGAGATTTAGTATTTTCATAGTTAAAAGCGTGAGTCAATTGAAGCTAGACCACCAGGGAAAACCTGGAAGCACTGAACGGATATTTCGTCCTATTGTGGGACTCCTCAGCAGTGCGCATCCACGACCTCACCTCGCGAGACTCGAACCCAGGGCTGCTGAGGAGTCCCACAATAGGACGATACGGCCATCCAGTGCTTCCATGTTTCCCCTAGTGGTCTAGCTTCAATTAACTCACGCTTTCAACTATGAAAATCTTAATAGGTTTCACATTATGTATGTTGCTGTAATGAAAATGAATAGACATGGTAAATTAAACAACCAGTAATTACAAGTTTATTTAAAATTTACCTATGATTAGAATTCCTATTACAGATTTATAAATTATTAACAAAACAAAATTTACCGTAAAGTTAATGGATTAAAACAAGACGTGACTTCCTTAATTACCTGTTTGTTCACGTGTGCTTCACATGAATAATATGTTTATAAAAAGTATGAATGTTACGGAATTTGTTTATTCTTTACGAGTTTCAACTAGATGTTATCGCTTCCTGTGTATAAAGTAATAAGTCTTTGACAAATAAAAGCTACTTCATTCTGTTCATAGTATTTTGCCTCTCGTGATTTCCAATCTACAGTCATACTTTTCTGTCATACATATTGACCAATATGAGTGTACTCAAAATATGTTTGACAATAATATCTACAATTTCATTACTGTTGCAGTGAACGAAAACTCAGGTGAGCTTCTGTAAAACATGAAAACCATACATTGAATACATCATTTGCACATCTTATATGCGTTGTCTTTTATCTACTTCATTGTTGCTTTAATTCTAATGTTATTTTGATTGCTCTCCAATTCCCTTTCTGTTCTCTTAAATTCAGTCTTCTAGTGCCTGGCATCCCATATTCGAATACATACTACTAATATCTGTCAGCATAAGTAGCATAAACCACAGAATTACTGTTCAAGTTCAACTTGAGGTATTTTCTTTCCATCCAACTTTCCAGTAAAAACTAAAAACACAAAAGACAAACAATTTGAAATTCAGTTCATTAAGAAAAGAATTCTAATAGTCTCATTAATTAGATCTAGAATTCTTTCGTAATTTTTATCCGAGTGTTTGCTGGTTTAATATAATCCATATAATGTACTAATTGCAAACAACTAATTCAAATGACCTAATCAACTAGTTTAGTTTTTAATACTTTGCATTACAAATAATGTTTATATTTTATCAGTATATTAAACATCATACTTTATTGATGAGTCCATCTCAATTCAATAAACATTCAGTAGCAATTATTACAAAATCTGGCATTATTCTAAAGATCACTTAATGAACATTGCAGGAATGACTTATGACACAAATGTGGTACTTTTGATTTGATTACGTTCTTTGATCTAGATTATTTAATTGAGATTCATTCAATGTTTCACTGAAAGATAACATCAGTTCTTACTTCATCTTCACATAAGAGTAAGTAATAAATAATTTAAAGAACATAACCAAGATATTTGATGTTATACTACTTTGCACGATGTCGTGGAAATTGAGCTATTCTAAACAGACTATATTTAATACTGTACGAATAATGCTTATGTTAGAGTTTTATTTGCGCAAAATATTGAGATCAATTTTGTTTGATCTTCCTTCTTCAGATACTTATTGTAACGGCTAATACAACGGACAATTACGCTCGAGGACCAGGTGAAACCACTGCATTCACATTCTTTATTCAAGTCCCAGAAAATTCTAAATTACCAAACTGTTCAGTTGTATTTAGTTCCGGTTATAGTGATATATATAATGAGTCAGAATTGACTATTTTGAATGTAAAGATAGAATTTGGAAATATATTTCGAACTTCACAAAGAGAAAAATTTAAAGTTGAATACACATCCAAGTATCCTGATGGACAGAACGATACAGCATCAGTTGATTTTGGCAACCTGGTCAACCCAAGTACGCTTTCTCAAAGTTGATTGCTAATATCTGATATGCTTTCTCGTTTATTTCAAACTTGATAATTTAACTCTCTACACTGGAAGATTTTTCCTAATGGCATGTCGGAAATGAAACTAATTAATGGTTTTCTAAAAAAGTATTCATGTGAATAACGGACTGAAAGTGTGTAATTACATTTCTAGACCCAAATATGTCCTCATTATCAGTGTGCAGTATTAGTGACGGTTATAGGAAATGCCAAATGAATTAATACTGAGAGATGCTTAATGAATAAGTTAAGACATGTCATCCGATATCCTCATAGACAATTGTAGTGGTAATATTCTGGATAGGATCGTAGTTAAAAATGTGACGGGGTCAAATTTTTTACTCAGTGTTATTATTTCTCACTTATGTTCCCTTCTTTGATTCGGTTTCGTGATCATTCACTGAAATATTTATTTTGTTTTCAGTACAAATCTTTGTATGGCATTGATTTTATCTGATTGTGACTTTTACTGAGAATAATGTGCTTTATATTAATTCTCACTCCACGGTTACAATAATTTTCAGATGGATAGGTTATCATCGATGAGATATGATAATACTTAAAAGATTGCTGTCATAAGTTCTGCCCAAGAATACATGTATCGAAACGATGAAGTTGAACAGTTCTACGTTAGTCATCGATAATATGGTTCAAACCCCGCGACGTTGGCTTAATAATTCACTAATAACATGTGAATGGTTTTTGAAATATCATACCAACTAAGCTCATTAAATTTATGTTTTTTTCTTTCATAAAGGCAATTTTAATGAACAATTTAAAAGTATCATAAAAATTAATGTCAATGCTCGTATATCCGATAGCAGACTGGTAAATAATGGATCAGAAATAAAGTTAGTAATGACAGCGAATTTCGGAAGCTTGTCAGGAATTACAGAAATTTCTCAAGTAATCAAAAGAAATGGAAATGAACGAGCAATCATTTCTATGGATTTACAGGAGATACATGAAGTTGGAAAAGATAAACAATTGTATGTTCTATCTATAGCTACAATGAACTAGAAAAAAGTTCATACTTATTAGCTTCTTATCAGTTTTTTAATGAGGTCGTTTTACATAAGGAAGTAACATGTTTGAAATTGACTTTCATAAGTTGTGTGATTCCACATTTTCACAAACGTTCAGTGTGTTATCAATCTTTTAAAAACGGTGTACAGATTAATAAAATGTTATATTGACTATTACTTGATGTACAATCAGCTGAGGCAACCGTTTATCGAATTCCAAAAAACACAATAATATGAATTTATTTCGCTATATCAAACTGTCAGTCAAGTTATTCATCAGCTAGTCAATAAGAATAAAGTCGTATTGTCATCTTACGAGATATATGATCGATAATAAGAAATATAAGTTCATAATTGAAAGCTAGTGTTTAACAAATGTATCACAGTAGATATAGATCATACAAATTTACTATCTGCTTAAATTTCCCGCTTAAGTTATTCATTGTATCATTATCAAATTTCATGAGATAAAACTTAGTTAAACTATTCATTAGGAGTAAGAAAGAGATGAATTTAGCCACTAACACAGTCTTACTGTGCGATAATGCCCAAGGCATGCAATCAGCACTTCATCAGTTGGCAATCAGTGTCCGCAGGTACGGCATGTGCTTTGCACCCTCCAAGTGCAAAGTACTCCTACAAGACTGGCAGGATTCTCATCCTGTACACACCCTGGATGGTGAGGAGATCGAAGTAGTTGAGAAGTTCGTGTATCTAGGTAGCTATATAAGTGCTGGTGGTGGCGTGAGTGATGAGATTGATTCACGTATAATGAAAGCCAGAGCGGCTTATGCCAATCTGGGCCATCTTTGGCGACTTCGTGATGTTAGTCTGGCTGTAAAAGTTCTGATCTACAACGCGTCGGTGAGAGCAGTTTTGCTCTATGCTTGTGAAACCTGGCCTCTCCGAGTTGAGGATGTTAGACGTCTCTCTGTGTTCGATCATCGTTGTCTCCAGTGGCAACACCATGTTAGTAATGGAGAGGTTCGGCATCGTGTGTTCGGGCACAGAGACGATAATTCAATTGGTGTCACCATCTTGAAACACCGACTTCGGTGGCTTGGACATGTTTTACGAATGTCGTCCCAGAGAATTCCACGTCGTGCATTATTTGCCGACTCTGGGACTGGTTGGAAAAAGCGAAGAGGAGGTCAGTGTATGACATGGTGTCGTGGCATGAAAGAGAGCTGTAAAGGGCTAGCTCCCGTTGGTCCTTCACGACTCCCTGGCTGGGGTCCGAGAGATGTTGCAACACAGTGGCTAGAGACGTTATCAGATATGGCTCAGAATAGAAGCCAGTGGCGATCCTGCTGCAACCTTCTTTTACTTTCTACATAAAGAATGGTTCTAACTTTCCTAACTGGAAGAGTCTTCTGGTTGTACATTTCAGTCCGCCTTATCTTTTCATCCCTTCTCTTCCTACTTTCATTATCTTGTGTGGCGCATATGTACCTGGTGCCCTTTTGTACCAATATATATGTGTTTAAATAAATAAATAAATAAAACTAACACAGTCTGATCAAAGTTAATCACACAGGAGATTGGCGCAGACTTAAAAACACAATGAAATTATACGGCAGCTGTTCATTTAACTATAATTAGACTCTAAATGATAATAAGCAATACAAAAAACTAGACCTATTTATTAAAATAGATTATAATATCACCGTTCACAAGCGTTATTATAAATGATAATTATTTACTAAATGACAAACTACTTATACTTTCTTGAGCATATGAAGTTTATAACTCAAACATTTGTTTGCTTTTCATTAACCTATTTTTATCGTGTAAAGAAAAAGCACCGACAGTATTATAACTAATATTCTAGGCACTTTGTATTATATACATATATCTTGACTTCTGAAACTTCCTAGACATTATTAACACAATATAGAATATAAAATTAATTCGAACTAATAGTTATTTATTTTATCAAAGAAAGATTAATTCATCTAAATTATGTAAACATTTGAGATGGTTTGTAAATATGTTTGCATTTCGAAGGAGTTTTATACAATCAGATGAACATAACATCACTTTACCGAATAATAGTCTGTTAATTATCAAGTGGAACACTGTGTTTTAGTAGAGAATAAAGTGGTTATTCACCACAAAAATGAGATGGAATTTTCCATGAATTATATGAAAGTGAAAAATTTATCTGCCGAATTTCGACTTACTGAAAGTACACTTTGATTTCTAATTCAATTTATGAATGCCCGAGTTTTGACCTCAGTATTGAAATGAATAAGGTAATGTGAAGTTCAAAATGAAACTAATATCTCACTAGTGCATCCTTGATTTTTACTTACTATTGTTTATGGGTTGCTTAATTCGAAAAAGTTTGTTATTATAACATTTATTTCTGATCAAAGCTACGGTGACGGGGATGTACTCATGTTAAATTTAAAAATGAAAATGGAACAGAACTCATCACTCGAATGTTCCAGGCATACACTGAATATATATCCTGGAGTGAGTGTGGAAAATGTAGACGTTTCACCTCATCAGCCAAATCTGTCATTCTTGTACCACATTGTGCCAAATATCAAAACGTCTGGTCCATTTATATTTAAAGTGAGTTTAATAATATGTGATTTCTAAAACTATATTTCAATGCCTAGGTATGTGAAAAATTGAACAAAACCGATTCATAGTGATTTATTACAACTAACATATTGAGAATAGTACAAGTTTTTGCACTAACAAGTATACACTGATGTATGTCTTTCTGTATACACAACCTATCTGAACTTGATGACGTGGTCTCAGGATACAGATAAAATCAAATTAGACATTCTAATAGATACGAATCAACCGAACTGTCGGATAATATCTATATTAATAAGTAAACGTGAAGATATGCGTTAAGTTGATCCAAGAGAAAGTCACTAAGATCTTTAAATGTATTAATTAAATGAACAATTGAATATACATTGTTGTTGAGTATTATGGAGAATACAGTGTAAATGGATGTGGAAGTAATAGACAAGATTTTTTCTTCTTATAAATGTATTGATCAAAGATTGCTATGGCGCTACTAACTATACTCATTCTCATTTATTGAATTCACTTATGTCCATACACACAAGGAAGAATTCAACGGATAATCTAGTTAACAGACCGTGTGCAAACTTGTGATTTGAATAGTTGAGCGTGTTAGCATTTGGATGACATGAATTATAATATCGTTACTTCATGTTCATTCAACTTAAAGTGAAGAAACGCCAGTTTCTATCTTTGTTTTTAACCTAACTCTTTCCTATATTCTGTTGACAGTGACCATCAATGGTTCTGTTGTTGGAACTTGCTATGCTATCATAATTATATGATAAGAATAATCCCTTAAATGTTCTGATATACTTAGTTTTGATGAATGTAGTACTTCAAGGAAACTGATCTTTATTCAACATACATATACGTCTGTATTCACATATTTTTTACTAATTATAATTTATTAGGATAATACTAAAGATGTGAGTGTATGTAACTTATTATTTTAAGTTTTCATTGTAATAAAGCTAAATTTTTACGCAATATTGTAAACGTTTCTGAATCAGAAAATACTCTCAGTATTTCATCGTACAATAACCGGGAACGCTTTTGCATATATTCAAGAATACGTTTTTACTTTCACCGAATTAGGGTGGTTCCTTTCGCTTTGATAATGAAATCTCGGTCAAAATCTATGCCCACTTCAAAGACAAAATATTTTTACCATCACACAAAAATACGGCGAAATACACTGTCGTCACAGAGCTTGTTTGTATTTCCACAAACCGACCTGAACAATTTAATCCATACATCAGTAGATTCTTGAGTAAGAAAACCATTACACTTGCTGACACAAATTTCACCAGTAAGTTATGTTACATTTTTTGAGTTCAGCTGATTTTCTCATATTTTCTTGAGAACGTCTTGTTTATAAAATGTAGAAAGTTTATGCAGTCTTGGAAACGTCGTCAAATCGAATTTACAAATATTCGAGATCTAAAAAAATTTCAGTTTAAACCGCTTGTAAATTCTAACAAAAATGTATTACTCCAAGTGTGTGAAGAAGATTGATAAGATATCACTGAAGTATAGTGTTTCTAACGTGAATTTATGAACAGATTCATCTATTTCCACCTAAGATAATTATAAAGAAAAAGCACACTAGGTACTGACCAGTTCTACGATGTAAAGTTCGAATCCGATTTAATGATGTTTAGGGTGTATTCTTTAATTTAAGCTTTCGTAAATTGTTCTATCACTAAAAAAACAGAAAGTGCCGATGACTCATAACCTTTTTGATTTGATAGCTTGACTTCTAAGTACCAACAGCACCAAAAGCACTTTAAAAGATGAATTGTCTATCATTTTATGCTGCGAAAGTTACCTTACGCATTAACCGGCTGGATAAAGAAGTTTTTCCCAATTAGTAATACTGTGAAGCTTAAATAATTTATCCGGAATGAACCACCTTATCACCTCTGGAGGCCAGAACATACTCAGCTCATTTACCAATAGGCATAAAAATGATATTTTAAACGAATATCTACTCATCCAAGATTTCACCTTGGCAGAGTAACAATCAAAAATAAGAATTATGTATTCCATTAATTTATGCTTATGTGAGGATACCACAGATAAACAAATGATATAAATCAAGTAAATATTTCTTCTCATTGCTAACTCAACATTAAGTTAACTGTACCAGTTGTAGTTGTAAAAAGTGTTATAAAATAACTGAATTAATGATTAACTTATGAATACTATGAATTGCATAATTTGATATAAGATAGTAGTTACTCTTAAGGGGTAATTTTCATGAAATTCAGTAGAAATCTAATAGGACTTGAGTCCATTTGCTTGAATTTCTTTCCCAATACTATAAGCAAAACGCTATGAGTATGCATTTCGCCATACACATCAGTATTTTCTTCACGTTTTGGTTGATATCTAGCCGAAGAAAAAAATAGCGATAGATAAGTCATATAATGACTTTTCTAGCTATTAGAATAAACATAGGTTTGACGACAAATAACAATATTAAAAGGTTTCAATTTACGAGTATAGATCTAAAGAAATTGTGTAATTCTAAGTTGGCAACCAAATGATAAAATTTTAAATAATTCGAAATTTTGATCCTTGACTAAGAGAAAAAGAAATAAATACAGGCCAGTTTAAGCTTGATAGTAGGATCTTCAGTAGTAATAATATATAAGCATAAAAAATTTAGGCATTTTGAAGAAAATGATTCCAATTTTCTGTATTTACAATTCAGTGCGAGATTTATCAGTGAAATAATCAAAGATAATAACTTATAATCCGATCCAGATATTAATCAGATATTTAAAATTGAAATATCTGCCCAGTGTTATAATAATATTAAACCGCTAACAAACACTAATTGAGTAAGTGTATACACCTTCTGTCTTCCCTTATACTATGAGATTAAAATTACTTCACATTTTTCTTCCTGTGCTTTATATATATCGTTATATACAAACTTTCTTTTACACATTACCACCATTAAATTAACTGCATCTATGAATTCCGTGTTCATCTTGTTATGCTAATGAGGTGAGACAACTTAGACCGATGCCTATATGTCCCTGGTCCTAAATTGTAACTGACTGATTGATCCAGTTGCCGACCAAAATCACGAGTTTTAAAAATAAAGTTTTCTGATCTCTCAATTAAATAGTTTCTAAAAATATTCAAAGTTCACTAGTGTGTTATTAATTTTGCAAATTTCAATATAAATGATTTTTATTCTTACTTGCTATTAGATATTGCAACACAAAAATGTGATAAAGTTGTAAAACTTACAGAAAAGCAAAATATTCCTAATTGTTCAGTTAATTCATTGTCTACACTGAGCATACACGACATTGTAAGAGGATCACAACCAAATTCTTCTATTTCTCATCAACCTATAACCATTCTCTTTGATCAATTAGTAAAGGTCAGTCAAATTAGACCGATTTCATTAGATTCAAATAATAAAATAAAAATATTAAACATTTCAACAACTACAGATGGAATATTATTCAAACACATTCTGACGGTAAGTCTAAATTGAATAAGTTTTAAATTACCAAAATCTATGTATTTGTGACAGTTTGTGAAACATATTTTTTCCAAATGGATATCATAGCTTCCACTGACCATGAAGTAGAAAAATAACACACTGAATGTAAATAATGACTGGTTAACACAACTATTACAGTTTTACATTTTGGTCGTGATTTAAATTGCTTGTTGGCAGTATTACTATAACAATGGGTAATATATGAGTATGAGTTTCGTTAAGACTGTAGATACACCTTGTTAGGGAACCTCAAATGTTCTCAAAACCTTAATAAAAAGCTTTTAACCAATGATTTTAGCCACTTTCCTTCAAATGTGAGCATACCAGAAAACTTTCTAGAGTTTTGAAACGATTATTTTTGAATTATTCGAGCGTTATATAAACAATCATCTAACACTTTCATAGCCACATTTTCACTGCAGATGAACAAGAGTATAGAACAGCCGGATTTGGAAAATATGTACTTTGATCCTCCACTTAATACAAGAGGGTTACATTTTATTGCTGTTGATGCTGAAGATAATACGCAAAATGCAAACTTTTCAGTTGCAATTTATGGTTGTAAAGCTATTTGGGACCCTTTAAACTTCGGTAAGTTTGAAACTGCCGTTTCATTTCAGTCTTTATTTTAATTCTTAACATTATAGCTACAAATGTAAGAGCAATATTTTTGTACAACAAATTTCATACTGATAATACACCAAAATGTATCATCAACGAATATGTATACACAAAATATTGGGCTAACGCTTCTTAAGAAAAAAGTTAAATATGAGAATATTGTTTAAAAGGACTCCAGATAAAACTCAAATCGGCAGTAAACACAAGTTAATATCAGTTAATATATTCCTCAAAGAAAGACATAATGAAACGTCTTTTAACTTCTTTTTAAACTGTCAGACAATATGAAAATAACGACTTTCTATTAGACCGTATTATCACTCTTAAAATGGATCAAACCAGTTATGCTTTAGAATAACTTTTAGCGACGGGAACTCCTCATCTTATAGGATATGTATTACGTTAAGAACTGTCACTCTGCATTACGTTTATAAGTGAATCAATAATGTATGTTCTCGTTTGCACTACAAGTAAATGAGAATTCTAAGATTTTTTAAAATCAATTAGAAGAGGATAGTTGCTTCTTTTTTACGCTAAAATGTGGTTGACTCTGATATACCGTCCACTGATCATGCTTCGAACCTTATTGTACTGAGATTGGTGTGATAATGTTTCAATCATTGTATATTATAACACCTCTTTAACTCTCATTTATTTGTTTTTATGGAAAAGTGATTAAACAACCATATGTGTCATTAACGTGTTGAAAATATATTAAGCTAAATCATGACGTTTTTCATAGCAACTTCATTTTGGTTTAATTTCAAAAGGAACTAATTGTCAATAGCTGAGTCTAATGATTTATAAGTGATTAAACAATGTGCAAAATGATACATGTTAATTATGACATTAAAATGGGTTAAGTACCAAATAAATGTATACACACATTCAATAACATAAGCAAATCTACCGAAAAAAAATCACCTTGATAGTAGTTTCATGATTTGGATAAATCAGAGTTGTTTTGGGATTGTACTAAATACTTTTGCTTTAAACTGTTTAAACGGATTAATTTTATTTATTTACTGTCTGAAAAAATGGTTTACACAGAAAATTTTGTTTTCTACTCATCGGAATATTACAAATACATCATTATTTTTACCGTTACCAATCTATTTAACGCTGATTTAATTCGAAATTATCAATTCAAAAATTTCTAGTAGTACCTATGTATTTGATAGTTTGTAATTTTATAGTTGAAATCATTAATCAATTGAAGCTAGACCATCATGGAAGCACTGGACGGCCGTCTCGTCCTATTGTAGGACTCCTCAGAAGTGCGCATCCACGATCCCGCCTAGCAAGATTCGAACCAAGGATCTATCGACCTCGCGCGCGAGCGCTTAACCTCTAGACCATTGAGATGGTCGGCATCCAACAATGCTAATGTCCAACTTCAATCAATCCGCGAAATAGAGCAACCGTTCACCATTGTCTTCGGTGAGTTAACATCTCACAACGAACATAGTTGAACTCCACTGGCTACTGCTTCTCACTAGAACTCTAGGAAATACCTTTTGAAGTCAGTCACTAGTAAGCATATGATATTTTGTATTTTGTTAAATAACAACTGGAATATTGGTATAATTAATCAGAAGTCTTATTTTGTTTAGCACATAAGGTATTGAATTATTTAATCTGTAGATTATTGCATAAAATTTTTTTCAGTTATTTACTTTACTTTGTCATCTTCAGATCCCTGTTCAAAAAAATTTATTGAAAAAGACAATGAAAACAAATTCTTAAAAACTATATTGATGACTAAAGAATTTATCTTCTATTGTGAAGTGTCACCTCTGAAAATTAGAAACATTACAAATGAAAAGCATTGTTATATAGTTACAGGATCATTTCCAATTACGGTGACAGGTAGGCCATTTTTAACTTTTTAACTATGATTATCATCAAATTTTAAAACTTATACTTGGTATACATAACTGACTTATTTTTCGCACATTTGTTTTAGACATGGGACAGGAAATAAACGAAATTATCATGTTACTTAAACCAAGCAATATTATCGTAGGAAGAAACAGTCATAATAATAGTACACTTATAAGTGAGAATATGGGAAAGTCATGGATAGTTACAAATGAATGGAAATTGAAGAATATGTTGTCGCAATCATCTGAGATTATTAACTCTTATGATACTCCATGGTTCAATGTTCAAAATAAATCCAGTGACGATTTTACTATTAGTCTATGCAATTCAACTGGTGATCCATGGAACTGTAAGTAGTCTGATAGTTATGCAACACATTATTTAAATGTTACACAGCTGTTACTCAAAAATTTCTAGACTATCCTGGTGTTATTTAAAATATTTTCCAGCGATTATTAAATATGTGGTCTGTAACAAAACACATATCAGGAAAAGCAACTAGAAAACCAAAGAAACATGACGTACGAAAATAATTTAGCTACAACTAATGAAAGAACCACACCAGAGAACCAAAAAGTCAGAATGACTGATGCAATGTGCAGATCTTCTCGATGGAAACGTGTTTACCTAAATTTGTAGCGTAACTTTTCAGATTTCGTCTACATAATTTGTGCATTTATTTAGGCCTGAAAATGATATTTGTAACTAACACAATGGACATTGAACAGGTTTGTTTCATAAATACCTTAGAATTCCAATATTAATCAGTATCTCAAACTAATCATCAAAGGAAATTGTCACATGTTATGGTATCTATGTTTTCATTTGTTTTCGGTTGTTAGATCAGTTTATTCTGAAGAGATTGAACAAGTGAACCATATATCCTATAGGCTGTTAGTATATTGACACTATTATTAATATATTGGATCAATATTTAAATTCAATCGTGAATAATACCTTATACATTTACTAATTCGAAATCTACAGTCAAACTGTCTAAACAACTTGGTGTTTCTTTATTTCCAGTTTGTTACAACGGCATATCATGGGGCGATCAACTGATCACAAATTGGAATGATGACCACAAAACTTAATTTAAAATTCGTTCCTTTTATATACATATTTTAACTATTAAACCAAGAATGATGTATGAAATATATATGTGACATTTTTATCATTCTCATTATAATCAAATAAACACCAGATCTTAGTTTCAATATATTTCAGTTATTTGGATCTCTTTTTGATGCTAAGGATCTGACTCCAACTAGATCGTACGATGATGTTATTGCTGCATACATCACAGCTGTACATGCATATTGTTATCAACTTAAATCGCGTTAATGAATAACGGTATTAAGTAAGCCAAATATGAAAATGGATTTTGGAGGCGTATATTTTGTACACTTATTGATCTGAACAGATAGTCAAAGAAACGGAGAAGGCAAGTGAGCCGACTCGTTTTGATCACGCGTGATTCAATGCTTAGAGTTATACAAAAATAATTTACAGACATACAATGAACAGGGTAAGCAGTTAGCACACATACGCTCATATAAAAACAGTCAATGTTGATAAGCGAATAGCTGACTAAATCAAAATGTGGCTCGAGAAGAATGAATAAATTACTCCGTACAGAAGCTTGAATAACCCATGTGGGTAAGGTATTATACTGAACCGCTGCATTATGATTCATACTGTTCCTGATATGATGTCGTGTTTATCCAAGATTCTGGGTCTTGTGTAACACATTCTGATAAAAATGCTATATGAAATGTATAGTACGATAAGTCTTGAGATTTGTTCGGTTTGCATATGGTAAATGCTAAACGAATGAACAATGAAGAAATTAAATGTGAGTTATTCGTATGGCATATAGATTTTGGGTTAACAGTCAAATCGCTATACCAAATGCAACTCATATTATATCGACAAATAATAATGAACAGAGATGGATAGCGTCTAACAGTGAAATCCAGGACGCGCGTTTCGTCTTACTTGGGATCCGAATCTCAGAATTGATGTTTACTCCACCTATTCTATAATAACTAAAATCATGATGGTTATATCGGGTTATTCGAACTGGATACTCATACACTAACAAAGGCTTGGCTAATTTTGGTCAAAATATCAACAATAGAATAATCCAAATCATTCCATATTGAATGGATACCCATACCCGTTGCACAAGCCAGTGCCTATCTGAAACTAATAGCTAATTGGATAATTCTGTACCGGGTTCTAGTCCCGGAGTAAGCATCAATTGACACACAAATGCATTCACCTGACACTTCCCGAATCGAACGAAGCGCGCGTCCTGGATTTCACTGATGACCAAATTCCATCTTTTCTGGATTAACTAGGAAAATATGTCTGTTATATATCCCAAATCATTTATGCATTACTGTGCTTAAAAACAAATCAGCATTGGATTAGTAAACACTAGGGTTAGTTATTGTAAGATTGTAATTAATTGAGTAATATCAGTTAACTTTGTCGAATTAAAAAGATGTTATTTCTCAAGCTATATTAGTTTTCAAGGCAAACGAGGGCAGAAATTAACCGTTGATAGTGTTTAATTAAGCAGTGATCAGTCAAGCTGAAATAAATGTTAAAGAATCTATAACCTTACTCTTATTAATCACTTGGATAGTAGACAAATAATCTTTGCCAGTTAAATTTCACTGTCTAATAAGATAAATATTTGACAAGAACATCAATGACACACCAATGTTTAAGTATGCAAGCAACTAATATGAACCAGGATGTGAGTGTAAAAGTAAACCACATTATCTTAAACATTTTTACAAATATGGAAGATAACATTGTCAAATTATCGAGATATAGAAGAACGTAATTACAAGTGAATCATTAGTTGACCTGTTTTCATCCGGTACTTACTAAGGATTATTCGTTATAATAGCTTTTGCGCTTTGTGTGTATGTAGTCATGAATACTTTCAAAAGAGCATTTTACAAAAAGTGGTTGTATTTGACTCATTAATGAGGCCAGTTACAACGAGGTGATGAGTACCAAATAGGACGATCGCCACTGTTGAGTACTATTAAACTCTGTACATTTTCAACAGTTAACATGTATCAAAACAACAAACTCTTGTGTTAGCAAGAGTAAAATGCAAGTATATACTTTTGTTACATGCATTCCAGTTCATAAGCATTTTATACATATAATTCGAAATATATTTTATAATTTTTGACAACTATTTGCGAATAAACTATGGTGCAAAGTCTTGTAAACTGACTAATCATACAAAAAGGATTATTTACAATTTTCTCAGGCATCGATTTTTAAAATGTCAATATGATATCAAAAGAGTGATTCAACATAAAACCACTCAACAACTGAATGCACGTTTATAAAATTTAAACGTTCAGTAGGAAACACATCAGTTTTCTTGTTACCTCAATAATAATTCATAGAGCATTATGAGTAGCACAAGATTAGTAATTACAATTGTGGCTGAGGCATAAATGATTTATTATGAGAAGTGAATATTTGTCTTAAGCAACAACACGTAATATACAATGTGGGTATGTGTTATGATGCACTGTGTCCAAGACTGATACTGATGCACAAACTTCCGATGCCCAAGTCCCCGACTGGTTTCTGAGTCAGAAGACTTGGAATAGAGACAGTTTACTGAGCTTAACCGATTTATATATATATATATATCTTAGAAAATAAACCTACTTCTTGGTCAATAGCGTGCACTTGCCGTTAGGAGATTTCTAACTGTCACTTTTTAGCTTTCTGTTTCACCACATTCGATTGACCCAGTATTTCAGTATAATGACAAAGAAATATAACCACTTTAAAATTATTCATATGATTCATTAACAAGACGATCAGCTAATTCATTTAGATGAATAATCTTGTCCAAATACCAAGATCTTAGAAAGTGCAATCTGTGCATAAGTAAACACAAGTATCATATTAAGTTTCAAGGATTTTGATGTTTGTAAAAGAAAATTATTTAAACGATCTCCTAAAGTATAAATAATAAATTGCTGATAAAACTTGAAACCGCGCTCCAAAACAAATTTTAAGGACATTGTAGTTGTAAAACAAAAAAATATGTGAGCAAAAAGTAGTTTACTTCTTCAGACACTACACTCACAAATCCATGAATAATATGACAGGACCATAGAATATTTTTGAGTTAGAACACTCAAAAATGAACAAAGAATATTTTTTTTAAGTTAACACATACAAACATCCAAAATGCTGCTGGAAAATTCTTCGAAAAAAACCATATCTATCCAAACTCTCAATCTTTTAAACGCTATGTACAAAATGTTATCTATTCTATTTGTTCACTCGTTCCATTAATAGAATTCAACATTTCGCGAAGATCTCCTGTGTTGTATGAGTTGTCACCTAATAAATAGCATCTTTTCACCTAATATGTTACCATAGTTGTAACAAACGCACGAAAAAATTAATAACATATTTCCCCAAAAGTTTAAAAATTAAAAAAAAACACAACACATATTTCCGATCAATCCTGAGAGATGTGTTTAATCATTCTTCAGTATCCTTAACAAATTTACAAATAGAAGCCTTATCTTGGGAGATAAAATTCTGTAACATAAATGAAAAAAAATTAATTAAATTCACAAAAATGTTCAAATTGAAAATTTATTCAAACAAACAAATGGTTTTAGTCCAGTCTCTGACCAAGAATCCCAACGTTTCAAATCTACTCTTCTCGATAACTGCAACCAGTATACTAGCACAAAAGTAACAGGTAAAAGTTTTCTAGCGAAAGAGCGTAGAAGTCAAATAAAATTACTTATAAACAATGAAGACTTGATTACTACACGTTCAGATAATGGTGCATGAACATCGATTTTAAGGGTGGTAGAGCTACTAACGTCTTGAAGAGGAGAATTTCTGAGTCTTTAAAAAGCACGTTCCTCTCGGCAACGTTGTGAATAGTATTCTCCAGCCGATCATTGTTCACCAATAATCTTAAGGATAAATTATCCCATATCATTAACTCAATTTGCATTGACAAAATTACATGCTCATGTGGAGCCAGATATATATGTTGTTCGATGCGTACTTTATCCTGATGAATTCAACAACATTACACGGAATGACGAAAAAAGCTGAGAAGCTCAATAATCAAAAACCTTGTTAGCACAGGTCACTCAATCAAGACAGACTCTGCTTTCAAAACCATCTACAAAGTAAGTAGAAGTCTGCATCTTCTTAACATCGCCGAATCAATAGCAATACATCTAAGAAAAACAGAATTGTGTGTCCCAAAGAGATCGGTACAACTTCTTCTTCTACCATGACCTTACTGTCTTCTTTTTCTTCTTCATATGTTATTCCCTTTACAGCCACCTACTTCCTCTTCTATCTTCTTCGTAAATCTTTTACCCCCAACTAGTTTATTTCTGTTTCCATGATCCTCCATATTACACTTCATCTCAATTTCAACATTTTATTTTATCTTGCTGAACCATTCTTTGCTAATGAAGATTTCCATACCTATATTTATGATAAATATTTAAGCCATTAACAATCAAACTAATATTAATTTCCGTAATGAAAAAATTCTTTTAATACCTTTGTTTATTCTACCTCACTGTTATCGTGTCTAACTGAAGCTTATGATCATTATTATTGCATTTACTGTAATTATTATTATCCTGAGAAATAAGTATATATATATACGACTGTACAGCTTTGAAAATGAATTCACTGAAAAGAGAACTGTCAGCTGAACCCAGGTTTTTATTTAATATCCTAATGGGTGTATTCCGTTTGCTAATTTTATTCCTAAGTGTTTGTTAATGTTATACTATTTATCATTATCGCTGTTTTTCCTTATTGCTATCAGTATGTACTTCTTAAATATCATATTTAATTATGTAATTTCATAGTTACCAGTAATTCATAAGTTCTATTAATTGGTCTAATATTTCTCGAATATCATTTATCGCACGATTAGTTTTGTATTTTTTGTCTAGTAAACTTTTTTTCATCTCATTTTGTCAGATGAAACAATCTCAACAACCCCACACTGAAATGATTAGTTTTAAAATGGGAAATATTGGTTATTCTTATCGGAAAAGTAATATGAAATGTATATATTCATCGACTGATCAGCTTTTCTAGAAACTGTGAACGTAAATAACTTACAAAGTACTAGATATAT